TATCCCTTTAAGTTATCATTTGTATCTGCAACAATGCAATTGTCCATTTAGTGTCACATGTAGCTACTCAACCCATTTTCTCTGCTATATTCTTCGTGGATGCTGAAGCCAATTTTTTATTTAGATCTTTCAAACGATGCTGCACAGTATCTAAGAAAAATGCAATGAAGTTAATCTAAGGCAAGATAACTGTCTTCAGCAGGCTTGCCACTGCACACTAAGTGCTACTTGGCCCAACATTTGAGTTTGTTCACAACATGCATTTGCTTGTGCCATGTTATCTCTTTCCATGCTATCCACAATGAGCAGAACTTGATTAGTCTATCTAATTGTACATTGCACTTCTCACTGCTTGAAAAATTTGTAAGATCGAACTGTCAGATCCAGTCCTTTTGGCTAATAGCAATTAAGGATGTAATAGCAGCATTTGTGATGACATTTTACCACATAATGGGATGCGAAAGTGCTGTTTTTTGGGGGCAAATGAGCCATATTTCACTGTGGTTTCCTGTAGCACGTCGAATTAGTGGGAAGAAGTTCTTAGCACCTTTTCTCATTTGTGAAATGCTATAAAGCACATAATATGCAGCAAAATAATTTAAAATAGCTGTTTTTCATTGAGTTGATAGCTAGGCAGCCAACTGAGATATAGAGTCAGACTTTGTACTGCTGAGTATCATCTTTTGCAATGAAGGCAGGTGGCAGCAGCAAATGCAGCAAAAGCACAGAAGCAGGAACTTGGTAGAGTTGTCTCACTTGTATATAGTGAAGACAATTGTCATGTTATACATGTGGCATTATGTTTATGCATACTCATAGTGATGTTGAACTGTGGCATTAAATGCATTATAATAGTCAGCGACGTCTTTTTTTTTTTTTAAGTCCTTGTCTGAAATGTCTGACCAGATATGGCATAAACAACATTGCCCTTTTTTAGGTGTCCCCTTCATACAATGAAAACATGTGATATTTGTTTTGCAGCTTTTCCTTTAAGTACCATGAGTAGACCTTTTTAAGAGGAACTGATTTTTCAGCCATATCGGGAATACCACTTATTTGCAAGCTGCATTAAGGCTAAAAATAGCCACTAGTGATTTGTCATAATAATATGGGTCACAATTATTAATTCATAGCGTGCTAGAGAAATGATCATTTATACTGGCAAATAGCTGCATATCAGTGCCAAAAAGACAAAGAAAAAATGTTCGTTTTTTTTCGATGTTTTAAAGTTGTCATATTGCATTCAACTTTGATAATGCTTTTATTTCTTCTTTTTCTAGCTCAGGAAAAAGAGTTAAGGAGTGTAACCAAGATTATGAAAAGATATGTCATCAGATTGACTTACCAAAACAAGCACATTTCACGCTTCAGTACCAAAGCAAAGGTTGGTCTATCTCATGTGAATCTGTGCATGATGACCTAAAGGTCAACTCTGGCAATTTTCTGAGGTCATTAGACCTGCATGAAATTAGCTATGTGTGTTCCCCTGCCCACTTCTCACCTTTATAAAGAACGACAGGCTAGAGAGATGTACAGATTTATCTCGGATAAATTTTATTGACTACCTTGAACGCTTGCTTCGCTACTCACAACTAGTGAACACATTGGGTGCGACATAGTATATGCATAAACAGTGAAGGCAGCTGGCAGCATCAAGAAGTAAGATGTTCATCAGCTGTGCTGCCGAAATGGCAGCAGGCAGCACAAGAAAATGAAAAAGGTGGATTGGCGACTACTGACCAGCCCTGGCAAGCCACGATAGCCAGTGAGGCCCTGGAAGTGGAGCTCCACTCAGAGTGACCAAACAGCCTTGTTTTAATAACTTTTTTTCTGTGCCATACTAAGCGCTTAAATATCAACAGCGTTGTAGCATCTGCTAGGATTTTACTTTCACTGCTTCTGTTTTCTGCACTGGCCATACAGGCATACTTGTATACCCGTCCAGCTTTTACATTAAAATAGATAGCACAAAAGGATGCTTATTTTTGCTCTATTCTAACTTGCAGCTATAAGAAACAAGTACTGAGCCTGTCGCACTGCAGTGCATAAGTGAAGGAAAGGAACTGTCATGTTTTGTGCAGCAGCTGACTCATCAGTAGACACATGTTGGGTTATTTCGCAGTGTCGTCTATGAATTGCTGAGTCGTAAACTGTGCCATAACTATAAGAAATATGCACCTGGAACAAAGTTTTTCAGTTTTCTGCTTCAAAAATTCACTGAAATTCGGATTAGTGTATGCCTCATAAAGCAAGTTATCATGCGGGCACTTTTATCAAGTTCATGCTGTTGCTTTTTTGTGTGAATTTACACTCCAAGCAAGTTAACTGATATTTTTACGGTGCTGATAGGAGTGACTGACAGCCAGCAAAGTGATCTCAAGTATGCAGTCGACATTTTGTTGGTGGAAAACCATCGACAGATCCAGCAATTCTCCCTTGTAGGCTGCCGCTGTTTTTCTACTGTACCGCAGTCAAACAGTAACACTAGGGAAGAATCTCCGCATGGCTGCAAAATATGTCATGGACCGCCAGAATTTTATGCCCCTTGTATTGCCATTCTTCTTAACAGCACTGTGCATGCAAGCAACGCTGCACCACACCATTTTTGCATTTAGTGACAGCTAAGATATCATTTGCAAGGTTGGCGTGTAACAAAGTTACTCAAGGACTTGTGCAGTGCTAGTAACGTCTAAAAATGGAGCTGCACTACAGTGCAGAAAGCTTCGTGGAACTTCCAGACATTACTAAATATGACACGTGCAGTTTGGAGATAGTACGTTTTACTTACGCCCATTGCAAGGGGTTGCCTAACAGGAGTCAGAAAAACGACGTCAGGCAAAACGACAAAAAAAAATCCATACAAACATCGATGTTGACAGCCTATGCTTTGTGGTTTACACTGGCCAGCCGATTGCCCTTTCAGAATACACTGCCACATGTCTGTGCTTTCTATCACATTGAAAGCATGACTGATTCCATATAATTTGTCCTTTCTTTTCGTTTGAGGCCATAAAAGAAACCTGCACTGTTGACTTTCTGAAGGCCTACCCGTTTTATCAAATATGTGGTCTTCGCACCCACACACTTGTGTAAAATGTGGGTATAGCAGAAAAAGAGATGGCTATTTGTAGCACGCCAGTTAAAACTGAAGTGGTGGCACGTGGCGGTGTAGTGGTGCAATAGACTGTTGTTCCACTTGTAGGTGCTGCACGTTTCCAGTAAGCTAAAATAGATTAAAATAAAGGGAGAAAGAAAAGAATGTCAGCTATATTTATGCTTGACAAAGCAATATTCTTTACAACTCCTCTGAAGATTTACTTCTCATATATTAGTAAAAGTCCTCTAAATGTTAACCACAGTAGAATCTCAGTAAAGGAAAATCTGCTAAATGGAACTGCTGCCTTTGACAAAATGGAACAACTGCCTTTGATATGATTGATTTAGTACTTGTATTGGGCATCCCTATTCATCTCTCAGTAAATGGAACTCCTGATAAATAAAATATATTTTCCTGGTTCCTTTTGTTTTGGTTTAAAGACCATCTGCTGTGATTAATCTTCATTAATTATTGACATAGTCTCAACATAAAAGTTTAAGCTAGAATATAAAAAGCAGTACTGTACACTTGTTGGCTTTCATAAGTGTTTTGTTCAAGTTAGCTGAAACACACCAAGGCTTAGATACAATTCAGTTGCTTGGCTGCAGCAGTATTCGCATTTCTGAATATCGCCAGCATGCATGGGGAAAAAAAGCAGCTAATTACATCACAAACTTCAATAAATTGGGGTCTCTTGTAAAGGCATTTTGCTGAAACATGACACTATACCTTGAAATAACCCACCCTGAACACTTCATGCTTGCCCTGTGGCTTTTGTTTGTAAAAATCGTGTAATAAAATTCAACATGTGAGCATAAACGTGTCGATTCTTTCTTGATGCTTACTTGCCCTTTGCAACAGCTTTTAGTTACCATTTTTGATACTATGGTTAATAAAGAAATCACACAAATATAAATGCTTGGTAGGTAATTCTGGTTTTACAATGTTGGAGCTTCTTTTTCATAGTTGTAGATCGATATGTTCTCCTACAAAAGGAAACAACTGCATATTGCATATTCACAGACCAACGTTATCCTTACCTCTTGTCCTAATTACTGCTTTCGTGCCCATAACAAGCTTCATAAGCAAATATCAAGCCAGTATTTGACCAACAAGTGTCAGCTGAGAATAACAGAGAGCAGCAGAGGCTAATGGGTGAAATAGCATTCCTATAGAACGCACCCAGGCCATCTTGTGGGTCATGACTTTTTGTGTGTCTATAATTGCACACCCTGTCCTTTCCCGTAAGCTAAAATAGATAAAAATAAAGGAAGAAAGAAAAGAAAGTCAGCTATACTTATGCTTGACAAAGCAATATCCTTTACAACTCCTCGAAGATTCACTTCTCATATATTAGTAAAAGTCTTCTAAATGTTAACCGCAGTAGAATTTCAATAAAGGAAAATCTGCTAAATGGAACTGCTGCCTTTGATAAAATGGAACAACTGCCTTTGATATGATTGGTTTAGTACTTGTATTAGGCACCCCTATTCATCTTTCAGTAAATGGGACTCCTGATAAATGAAGTATATTTTTCTGGTTTCTTTTGGTTTGTTTTAAAGACCATCTACTGTGATTAATCTTCATTAATTTTTGACATAGTTTTAACACAAAAGCTTATGCCAGAATATAGAAAGCAGTACTGTACACTTGTTTTACTTTAATAAGTGTTTTGTTCAAGTTAGCTGAAACACATTTGAAGGCTTAGATACGATTCAGTGTCTTGGCTGCAGCAGTATTTGCATTTCTGAATACCGCCAGCATGCATGAAAAAAAAAAAAAGCAGCTCATTACATCACAAACTTTAATAAATTGGGGTCCCTTGTAAAGCGCTGTTCTACTTCAGACTTTTTCTGAACATGAACACTATACCTTGCAATCAACCACCCTGAAACACTTCATGCTTGCCTGTGGCTTTTGTTGTAAAATCGTCTAATAAAATTCAACATGTGAGCACAAACATGCCAATTCTTTGTTGATGCTTACTTGCCCTTTGAAACAGCTTTTAGTTACCATTTTTGATACTACGGGTAATAAAGAAATCATGCAAATATGAATGCTCGGTAGGTAATTCTGGTTTTACAATTTTGGAGCTTCTTTTTCATAGTTGTAGATCGATATGTTTTCCTACAAAAGGAAACAACTGCATATTGCATATTCACAGACCAACGTTATCCTTACCTCTTGTCCTAATTACTGCTTTCGTGCCCATAATATGCTTCATAAACAAATATCAAGCCAGTTTTGACCAATCAATGTCAGCTGAGAATAACAGAGAGCAGAGCTAATTGGTGAATATTCATTCTAAAAGACAGCCCAGGCCATCTTGTGGTGTCATGACTTCTTTTGTGTGTCTATAATTGCACATCCTGTCTTTTAGAATGAACAACCCCAGCTATCTTTTGCTCTGTTTATTGTTTTCATGCTCTTACAGCACATTAAGGGCAGAAAATTAAAAAGAAAACTAGAAATTAATATTAGGTCTATTTTAAAACCGAGCTGTTATTATCCTGGTGTGCTCACATTCTCCCATCTTTAATTTCTTAGTAAGGTTACTATTTTTACAGTTAAAGCTGCTATGATTTCACAAAAAAAACCATCTCCGGCACCGTACTCGCCCGCCGACAGTGTCCGCAACCAATATCGCATGAAGTATGAAAAAAAAAAAAACGAAATGAGAAAAATATCTCGCGTAGAGGGGGCTCCAGGTCTTGTCTGTGGCAGCCCAGTGCTCTACCACAGAGCTACTCCTGTGCTCGAAATTCAACTGCAAACTTGCCTTATGCACACTTCTAGTCAGTTCAGGAATCATGTTAAAAGAGCATTTCAGAACAGTAACAAAGCAACCTAGCGTCACACAACGGGAATTTTCTAATGATTAGGTTTATTGAATGATTCCAGGGCCACTACAAAAGGCTCAGTCATAATTGTTTGTCGTCATTAGGTGCAGCATCAGCAAATAATGCACATAATGCCGATAATGCACATTGCACATAATGCCTTACAGGTGCATAGCGGGCACCATGCTCCTGTGAAGAAAGACAAATACTAATGAAATAGTGCACGCTTCTCTACTTCACATATGTTATAGTGACTTACGGTTTTGTGGGTATCATGCAAGTGTACTTGTAGTAGTCTCTACAAGAGTGTTCAGAAAAGGCTCTAGAAGGCCGCTCTTCAGCTTTTGCTGTGACTGTGCTGCGCATTTTGCACAGGCCTGGTGTTTTTTTTTTTCTTGAAAGGTTTGTGAATGTGTATTTGATTCATTGCAGATGTGACTGCAAGATGTCACCATGTATTTTGGTGTGGCGATCTGAATTTTCGACTCGTGAATGATCGTTCCACAGTCGTCGGTTTATTGGAAGATCACCATGAGAATAAACAACTTACGTATGACAACCTCCTGAAATTTGATCGACCAAGAAGTGCTATGGTAGATGGTTTGTATATTTACATCTTCTGTATACCACCTACCGTTTTTTTTTTTCGTTGAAATGTTTAAAGAACGCCCTTTATTTAGGTTTATGCATTTAAGATGAAACAAAGTGATGTGTAGATTGTGGGGGGCAATAGTGCTTGCAAAACATAAAACTGACAGTAACATGGTGTGAAAGCGGTCGAAACTTGAAACAACGTCCTGAGCTTTTTCTCTCGTGGAAGCTGCACATGTAGCAAGTCAAGGTCATGCACACAAATGCTGAACACACACTGCTTGTAGTATCTTTTTCTATGGCATGTGACATTGATTAATCATCTAATACACTCTCTCTAGATATGTGCCGTGAAGCAAAATCAGGTAAAGAAGGCGTAAGGGAGGTGGAGCTAGTCATGTGAACATGGTGTGGCCCCTACACCACGTACCACATGGGTGAAGGAACTCTGCTTGCGAAGAATGGCTGAGGCAAAGGGGGTAATTGCATTAGTGGTGAAGCTTGGCTCCCAGTAAGATAGTAACAAAGCAGTTAAATTGTTTTCATATTTTCTAATAACGAGCCTGTTTGAAAATCATTTCGTTGAAACGTTCCCTAGACATTGCTTTCCTGACTGTATAGTGAAAACTTGCAGTAGTGTTCTTTAACACTGAGGCTTTCTTAAAAAAAAGTTGCCTTCATAAGTCACAACATTAAAGTAGCTAATAAATGTTCTCCAATTTGAATAATTTGCTTTATTATAAAATTTACGATAGCAAAATTGAAGCAGAGTAGTAGAAGTAGGGTCATTCCTGCTCAGCAGAAAATTGAGGTTAGCTATGTTTCCAGATATGCTACAAAATGCACTAGTATTCCAGACAAGTCTCTTAAAAACTTTCCTATAACAGCTTGAAATGACCTTTTATACTGAAATATTGGCAGGGCAAACTAACAGGACACAAAGGAGGAGAAAAACAAGTCATTTGTTGTATGCACTTGTTTGTCTCCTCCTTTACATCCTGTTGGTTTGTGCTCCCAATATTTCAGTGTGAATCTATACCAACTACACCGCCTCTCAACCCTTCTGGAATGATCCTAATTGAAATGCAGATGCATTCATTCATTAGTGATCTTGCAAAGAGATATCGAGAAAGTGGTGATAGCCTTTGGATTTTTGTTAAACTGACACTACTACACAGCTGCTGAGCTTCAGTTTTGCAATTGTACCATGTGCCTAAAATGAAATATGACTTTAGATAAGGCTGTATTTGGTTAGCTATCTGCACCAGTGATTCACGGTGTTAAAACATCTCGTAAAAGAGCACCACTTTTTCTTGGTGAGCTCTAAAAATCTGTTTGAATTAGAAGAGAACTGCCTTGTTTCCTGTATATGTTTTCCATTCACCAGTGTTTCTTACAGCATCTCTCTCTTCTCTGCTGATCAGGTCAGGCATTTTTTGGCTTTCAAGAAAGAAAGGTAAAATTTGGACCGACTTACAAATTCGAAGTTGGCTCGAGTAAATTTGATGGTGTGAAGCATAGAGTGCCATCGTACACGGTAACAGCCTATGTTTGCACTTTTCAATTCATGGCATTGGTATTGTCAGGCTCATTTTTCACTGGAAATCTATTTTCATTTAGGATCGAATAGTTTATAAAAGCAAGAGAAAAGGCCATATAGAGTGTATTCTCTATGACTCAATTCTATTAATGCAAACCTCTGATCATCGACTAGTGTATGGGCTGTATGAAGTAGAGATTCGACCTGGAAGAGACAAGTAAGAATCTGTTTTAATTAATATTACTATACAATTACACTGTCTTGGTTGACTACTAGTTACAGAGTTCTCTCTAAAAGAGTTTTGCAACTGGGTGTTGTATGTGGCTTCTTATCTGTCAAAGACATGGATAGTAAGGGTTGTGCAACAGTCAATTTATCACTTTTACTAAATATAGATTAGTTCATGTGCCACATCTCATGAAAATATTTCATTATTATTTGAAATATCTATACTTCTCAATAACTGAATAGTATTTGTTCAGTTTGTGCACAATGTTTTCTCTATTCAGCTTTTTATATGAGAACACCATTTAGACTGATGAACTATTATTGCAATATATCAGTATTGTGCCAATTTTTGTATTTGCTATTGATCTACAAGGTCTTTTGAAAGTAGGAAACAAAAATCAACAGACTTCAGTGATTTTTGTGATCCTGAATTTAATGCAACTCATAACCTCGTCGGCAGTTATTAGAGGTTGTGTGGATTTGATTCCTGACTACAGTGACATCAGTTGAGTAGTGATAAATGCTAAAATACTTGTGTACCATGTTTTTAGTGCATCTGAAAGAACTACCAATGAAGAAAAATAATCCGGAACACTACACAATGGTGTTTCTTTTCGCCTACTGTACAGTTTGACATTAAAACCCACAATTAAACATTTTATAATATTTTCCAATACTTCAGATTTTAAATACAAAAAGAATAGTGCGGGCCATTTGATTCATGTTCGGTTCAAGAATCCAGAAGTTTAAGTTCCCGACATGTCTTTTTTGAATGTGTATAAGAGATAACACTCATCGGAGTCCTGAGAAAAGCAAAATGGCAGATGTAATAAATGTTCCATTATATAGTTGTGCTGAATAGAAGCAGTTGTTATGCCGGACCAACAGTTCATAAGCAGGTGCATTGGGCATGTAGCTTCCACTCCATTATTGTATTTAGATAATTAGGTTGTTTAGGAATTTAATGCAATTGATTATTTGATCAGTTTAATTACGTTTGCATTTCTTAAAAACTCTCGCACTTAAATCTCTCTTTCAGTAAACACAACATTGTATGTACTATCAGTATGAACTACACCACGTGAGCGCATGGCTGAGCGTACTGCAAGGTTGTACAGTGGCGCCGATCGTCACATATTTTCAAGTTATTGGGAGAGAGTCTGGCTATACTTGCGGGTGTGCATCGCCCCCACTAACTTGCTGTCACCCTCTTTTTCGAAGCTGTTATAAACACAGCGCAAAACTAGCGCGAGCATGAAAAGAAGTTTGGGCGATGCGTACTCACAGGTATGGCCGAGCCCTCCCCTGATAACACAAAAAATGTCATGATTGGTGCAACTATACAACCTTACATTTGGATTGACCATATGCTCCTGTGGTGTAGCTCATACTGAGCACGATAGTACAACTGGACATGTGGTAGCATGTTTCATAAGGGTGGTAGGCCACCCCAAAAAAAAACTTTTTTCAACTGGAGGAGCCAGGAATAAAATAACTGCTTTTTCGGAACAAGCCTGTTTCAGTTACTTTGGCTAGTCATTTAGAGTGCAAAATATTGATTATTTAATTTTTTGGAAGGCCATCTTTGTCAAATATTCAATGAAAAGTGGTAGTTACATCAACCGTGATTAGTGGCTAACGAGTGCGTGAATCTAGTAAAGCTTGGCATTTCTGTAATCAATGGTTGTAGCTATGCAGTGAACTAGGATAAATAATATACAGTAAATATCAAGGAAATTATGTTAAAATCTCCAAACAATTCAGGAAAAAGTGCCAATTTATACTGAACTTGTTTGCAAAATCAGCTGTGAATTCAAAACTAATCGATCAATTTCTTTTATCCTAGTTCACTGCACAGATATATAAGTGATGAAACATTGTACTCAATTTTCAAACAAAGCATGCACTAGGGAAAAAAAGTTATGAAAGTTTGCATCACATGACTTCCAGCAAATTCTTATTTTGAGGAAAACGTAAACAAAGATTTCAGAGCGGGCTCAAGGTGTCAGAAACTTCGCACAGAGTCCTAAAATGCACCTGATTCTTAGGTGGGTCTTTTGTTGAATAGCATTATGGTCTCCTTTTCTTGGTGTGACTGCTCTTCTTTTCTTTCTGGCCTGTTTCGTCCCATCCGCTGACTTGCGTTTGGCATTCTGCATGTGCTTGTGATCTCTGGCAAGGCAAGCTTTCGCTGGTAGTACTCTGGTTGTATGCCAGCTTGGCTCAGGATGTCTAGGGTGCTTACACTGCCATTATTGAAGTGTGCCACAGCCCCATGCAAGGCAAACATTACTGTAGGCAAGCTTACGTAGACCTTTTTGGGAGCCCGCTGCCTTATCTGACCATTAAAACTCATTTGCATTTTGTGTCTTTCCATGCAAAGATTTCATCAGAAGTTTGTCTCAACACAAATCACTGTACACAATTTCAACTTTGTTGAGCACGTCGTTCGAAAGTTGTCCTTTGTGCAGGTACTCTCCTTGGCCGAGTGCTTCGACCCTTCTGTACCCACACCAGCTGTTCGATCCAAGTGAACACAGACCATGTCTTCAATGCTTGTCGGTAGAGTTGCAATGAAAAAGACTGGCAATGGTAGCCTGCTTCATTGCAGAAAGGTTGCCCACATTAGCCATTATAACAATGCCGTAGTGGTTTTGCAGGCGGTTAATAAGGCCATCAGTGACTTTTCCCTTACTTCCGAGACCACGCACTGCTTCCTTTAGTTCTCCGAGGCGGCAGCGAACACGCTTCTGGACATGCCCAATGCATTCCAGTTTTTGGACACTCTCCTTTCTATACATGTCTTTCACAGCGGCATAGCTTTTGGAATCACCATCGCCGTAGAATTTCAGGTACTTCAAGCCTCTATTTGGCTGCGCCTTCTCAAATATTCAGTACAGACCAACCATCTCCTTACTGCTAGTACTTCTTTCATGATTTGCTTGCCAGGAAGTGTGGCTTGCCTTTCATTCCTGATAAGAAGCACTTCGTGGCATCAACTTCCTTTTAGTTTGTGGCCTTAGCTTCCTTTTAGTTTTACAAGACTTACACGACCTAAAAAGGACCTCAACATCTATGACTTTTCCCGTGTCAACAGAAATCACAGACTCACATGCGTTCAAAGATGAATGGCCACGCTTCTGCCACCTGAAACACCACACGCCGCACTGCCCACAACTTGACTAAGTTCCACAGCAGCA